ATTGGGACCAACAGATGGCATAGTGGTTATGCTGCTGGATTCCCACATGACCAACTGCAGCTCAAGTCTCAGAACCAGTGGCTTAAAACTCATGCTGGACACCTTCACATGTATGCCCAAGATCCCAGGAGGAGAGTTAAGGAGAAGGAATTGCAGTATGGCCAGCCCCCTCGGGGATGATTTCTTGCTTTGTCTCTCTGTTATTCTGTCTCTCTGGTGAGTACATGCATCCTATAGCAAAAAAACTCTCAAAAAAAAAAAATCATCCTGGGAACCAGCAGTTAGCATAATGGCTATGTAGCTGGACTCCCATGTAGTCGACCGTGGTTTGCGTCCTGGACCCGGTGGCTTAAAACTCATGCTGGGCACGTGTGCGTGCGTGCCCAAGATCCCGAGAGGAGAATGGAGGAGAAGGGATTGCGGCGTGACCATCCCTCCTGGGGGGTGATTTCTCACTTTCTGTCTCTATGTCTCTCTCTGTCTGTCTGGTGAGCGCACGTGCCTTATAGCGAAAAATAAAAACCTCTCAAAAAAAAAAATCATCCTCATCATCATGGCTTAACTGTATTAAGTACCATGATGTAGGTTGTGCACTCAACAAGTATTATCTAAACACTTTAAGGTTGGTATGGTGATTATCCCCCACTTATCCAATGACAAAACTAAGTAACAGAGCAAGTAACAAGGATGAGGTGTCTAGCTAAAAACTGGCAGAGTTGGAATTCTAGCCTCATTAGAGTAACTCCAATGCCTTCTCTCTTAGTCACTATGCTATACAGTTAGCTATCCTTGTCTGCAGGTTTGATATCTGCAGATTGAACAAAGTACTGATCAAAACGTTATGTGGCTGCTGATGTGCACTATGCACAGTACTTAGGCCTGCAGTGGCTGGGTAGATACTACTAATGTACAGACTTTTCTTGTCATTATTTCCTAAACAATACAATATAACTACTGTTTCATAGCATTTACATTATATTAGGTATTATAAGTCTTCTAAAGATCATTTAAAGTAAGCCATGCACTAGCTCACAGCCTGTTAGGAACTGGGCTGCACAGCAGGAGGCTCACAGTGGACAAGCCAATGAAGCCTCATTTGTATTTACAGTCACTCCCCATTGCTCGCATAACTGCCTCCCAGCAGATCAGCAGTGGCATTAGATTCTCATAAGAAAACAAATCCTATTGTGAACTATGCAAGAGATCTAGGTTGCATGCTCTTATAAACCATCCTCCCCCAACCACCCAGAAACACTATCTTCCATGAAACCACTCCCTGGTGCCAAAAAGGTTGGGGACCACTGATATAAACTATCTGGGAGGATGAGCCTAGGTTAAAGGCAAATACCACTTCATTTTAATAAGTGATTTGAGCAGCCGAAGGTTTTGATATCTCCAGGGTCCTAGAACCAGTCTCCTCAGAATATCAAGGGACAAGATGACTATACTACTTTAAAAGGCAAGGCAGTGATAGGCAGATAGATCATTTTTTTTAATAAAAAGGATAGAAATATCCACTTGTCTTAATTTCTGCTCTAATTTCCTTTTCTTTTTTTAAAAATAAGAATAATTATTAATTCTAAAAAGAAATAGGGCAATTTTCATTTAAATCCAGTAAATTACCATGTGCCCCAGAGAAAACTGCAAGATCTACATTCACCTTATTATTGGAGTTAAATTCTGTTATTAAATAGACCTCAGTGATTGCATCAGATGTTCACTGAGGCTATAACTTACTAAACTAAATAGAGCTATAGTAATGAGGTAGAGAAAAATCATTTTTGTGTGCTGCCTCTTTAGATTATAGCCTCAAAATGAACAAAAAACTTAACAGACACAAAAGCAGTATTCATTATTTTTCATCCGAGACACAAAAAACCACACCCAGACTGTTTGGAAAGAAAATCAACATTTTCCACATTTCATTAATAGTGTGCACAAAATAAGCTGCTAGCTACAAGCCTTCAGACATAGCTGGCCTTATTAAAAAAAATGTTTTAATCATAAGAGTGGTTTGGCTGAAGACAAAACAAAACAAAATAAAAACATTACATACAAAAAAGCAGTGATGAATTCCTTACTCTTATTTGATTAAAGAAACATTTCATTTTAAAGGAAAATAGAATAGCTACCCTATAGCATTTAGAAATAATTATTTTCATTGCAACTTTTTACACTTTCAGCATATTCAACCTTCTAACTTCCCATGAAGCTATATGAGCATTTAGAGACCTATATCATAAAAACAATAATCTGTCCAACAATTTGGTTTTAAAGCATATAAAGCATAACATTTTACTTATTTTGATGGTATCTCTACATCTATATATAATCAGTATTAAAAAAAAAAAAAAAACTAAAAAAAAAACTCCAGTATCTAAGATTGCCAAATTCTTTTTTTCTTTTAGCAGTTACAAGGTTTAGCATACTATGCAGAAACAGATACACACAATAATTATCAAGGTACACTCTACTTGAGTAACTTTTCCTTTTAATTATAGCTGTTCATTAACCTAACATTGGTTATGGAGGAGTCCGACCCGGTGAGGCCCCAGGATCTGTCTGAGCCCCCTGACCTTTGAGCTCCGCTTCCGGTCGGATCAACAGGTTGGCAAGGCTACTGTTGTGCACCCCCCGACCTTGGAACAAAGCTTGGGTCAGTTAACATGTCAGCAAGGCTGCTTGCTATTTGCTCCAGAGAATTGAGGCAGCCTCACTGGGAAGCGACCCCCCTCTGACTCCCCAATTTACTACTATGAAAGAATTGCATAGCTCTCCTATACATCCTGAGTATATGATAAAATCTTCCAGGAAGTCCCCGACCGCTCCCCTTTGCTCTGATCACTTACTATTAATTACAATGCTTTATCTCCATGGTCACAATAGAGGGTGGGCTGAAGTTCTTTCTAGGCAGAAGTAATCTTGACCTTTGGAAGGCCCTTAAATTCTTCCTTTCTTTATGTACAATAGGATTAGGCCAAAACTGGCCCAGGACACCTCTGCCCTCTCCAAGTGAAATAGATAAATATATTAGGATTCCTCAAATTAAGTTTTAGATCCCTACAAAACTGTATAAGTATCATTCTTTATTAAGATCCATAAGAACTAATATCTTGCACTAGACCCACCTTTAATCCAACCCTGAATAGAATCTTTGTTCTTTATTGTTAAAAACTTTATGAGCTGTTAATTGAAACACTAGCCCCTCTCCCTTTACTTGCATGTAACACGTTTTCAATAAAAACGCACGATGATTCCTAGCAGTCGTCACTCCTCAGAGAGCGATCTCTGAGGGGTGTCCGACATAGGACGTGCATGAAAGGCATCGAGGCCTCTGTCTTCTGTTCACCTTCGCCGCCTTCGTCGAGATAACCCACCCATGCCGAGGCTGGACCCCGGCATGGTTATTAATGCCTTCTTTGTGCCAGCCATTGTGACAGAAATGGAGAATCTTTCAGCTTCCATGAATTTATGGTTTCTTTAGTAAACATTTCATACTACTCAGTAGAACATTTTTGTATTGGTAGAATCTTTAACAAATTTCAAAACTTATCACATAGGTGACCGCTAAATCTGCCACCTTCCTACTCAAAATTTCATAATAATCTGTAGCTAGTAACGGGCATTCTCTCAACAAATATTTAACAAAGTCTTTCATGTTTTGTTTAGCACTAAATAAACAATGGTCAAGCTCCTGTATATTAAGGTCCATAGCTATGGAAAAACAGACTTAAATTAATTTTTTTTCTTAATGATATTATCATACATGTTATTTAATCTTATTTATCATTATTATTATTATTACCTTTTTTTAAAATTTTGGTATAGAGCACATGTAGAGAGAGAGAGAGAGAGAAAGCAAGCTGCCAGGTCTAGGACTTGGTTGGCCATGTGGGAGTCCAGTGCCTTAACCACCATTCCATCTGCTGGCCTGACTTAATTTCAATAGTCAAATAAAGTCATAAGAATAGCTGAACACTTTGAAGACCTAGGAAACTCCTCAGCAAGTGGAAGACATGTGTGATTTAGCTGACATGAATGGCATTTGAAGACAGAGGTTTTCATAAACATTTAAATACTCCTGGATAAACTCTAAATGTCAGGATCAGTAGAATTTTAACTTATGGAAAAAGCTGGAGACTACAGCTTTCAGGGTTATGAGGTTTTAAGAGTCTCTATTAAAATTATTACATCTATTAGACCCTATCTCTTTTGGGAATATGTGCTAAGACTTTGACTTTATATTTACAAATTTTAGTAGTTTTTGTGAATATCTGCTGGAATAATGATAATGTGTCTCAGAATTTAAGTTTGGAAGTGTCCCTCCATTTGATGCTTGAATTCCTTCTTTAATGATCCAAACAAATAAAGGTAGGTAAATTTTTAGTGGGATAAAGGACATTTTAAGCAAGAGTGCTTTGAAAACACAAGTGTATTCTGAAAACTTTCAAAAATTTCCTCCAAAATCAATCAAAGTTCCACTCTACAAGAAGAGTTTTCACTTAATGACAGCCTGAAGCTTAAGAACATGAGTAACAAGTTAAAAAAAGAGGGAAAACTACCGAATAGATTCTTTGAATCAATAGCCCCCTAGGTCTTCAAGTAGTTCAAATTCCAAAGAGTTTCTCAATCACACTTAAGGGACGTTAAAGAACCACATATATTTTCTTCTGAAGCATTTTATGTATGTTTAAAACACAATAACTCAACCATGGAGAAACTTTTAACAATTGTAAAAAATGAATCTTTATAATTTCCTACAACCTTCAATATTCGCACACATTTTAAAAAATAAAATCTCTCAAGTTCAAATAAAAGAGCAGAAAATTAGGTACTTAATAGTAGTTGTTTCTAAAATCTTCATTTTTTAACACAGTATTTGGAATGACATATGAAGGCAGTAACTCTGCTCAATATTAACTCTGGATTTCGCATGTTAAATGAATGCAAAACAGTGAAAGTCAATGTGTTACTATCACTATGCATATAATGAAACTCACCAGCTTCTTTCAGATATCCCATGGAAGAGGTCCCGGGTCGTAAAGGCAAGCCAGGATGGATGGGAAAGGGATACAGTGATTCCAATATTCTGCTCAAAAATAAATAAATAAATAAATAAGTTCATCTTTGAGTGATTTAATAGTTCCAATTTCTAGTACAAATCTTCAAGATTAATATAGGATTATTTGGGATTCAGAAAATGGCACTACAAATAGTCCTTTCATATGCCAAGAGGCCTTAGAGATCATCTCATAATCAAGGTCTCTTAACCATTTCTTGTATCCCTGGCCCCAATATGTGCAGAAAAGGGCTCTGCCTGGAATTACTTATCTGACTGAAGAAACTTCAGTAGAAAATGTAATTGTCCCAGGCCAGCCTCTCAGCCTAGTTTTTAAGGGAGCTGGATATCACATGAATGACTGCGTTCAAATCCCAAATCCAGTGGCTTTTAAAACACACTAGGCATGAGTGCCCCAAATGACCATGCCTTCTTTCCATCCACTCCATCTCTCTCTTCCCCTGGTAAGTGTATGTGCACTCTGGTAATTACAAAAAAGAAAAAAAGAGAGAGAAAGGAAAAAAGGCAGGAAGGCAGGAAGGCAGGCAGGCAAGCAGACAATTGTCTTCCTTTTTTTTTTTAAGAGGTTTTTGCCAGAGAGAGAGAGACAGTGATAGTGAGAGGGAAAGTGAGAGATCACTCCTTGGGGAGATGGCCTTGCACAATTTCTTCTCCTCCATTCTCTTCCTGGGATCTTGAGCACACACAGTCTGCCTTGTGGGAGTCCAGTGACAACCACTTTGCTATCTGCTGGCCCCACAATTGTCTTAAACTTGCTTTCTAGGAATTTCATCGAATAACTAGAGACAAGAAAGGAGACCAAGTTCTACACACTCATGACAACCTTTCCACATATTCTTCTGGGGGTAGTTCTGAGAGATTACCTAAGAAACCACTTGCATAATAAGACAAACTGTTCTTGTGCAGTTTTACCTCTGTCTTTCCATAACTTGTTCCCATTCAGCTCCCAAAGAGATTTACTTACCAATTATTTTCTGAGTATTGTACCCATTCATGTCTCCTCTGTCAAGAGGTTATTTAAGCCTCAACCATCTGGTCCCTCTCTGAGTTCTTATTTGAATGGCTCCAGTGTACACAGGTATACATTAAATAAATTTGTACAACTTTCCTCTTATTAACCTGCCAATTGATTGTTGGTGAATCCTTAAGAATGAAAGAAAAAATTCCTTCTACCCAACAGATTAAATGCTAAAATATAGAAAACTACTGGTCAGTTGGACAACATCTATTATAACTTCAGTGCCCTGCAGGGTCAATATTTATAACTGAATGAAGACAAAATAATACCAAATTATGCTAGTTTTGAGCATGAATAGCAAATAGGAATATTTTTCTTTCCACACACATTCCATCTAACAAAAATCAGAAAACTGAAAAAGCATCGTATCTATTTCTTCAATATTTTATAAGAAATTTTAAATAGCATATTTTCCTAAATAGCTTGGAGAGCTTCAACTATGCCAGCTGAATCAAGAGTCTAGTACCATATAGAAAATTTACAAAATAAAAATGAGGAAAAGGAAATAAAATAAAAATAATCCTTAATCTTATCACTCTGAAATTATAGTAATGACAAACCCTTCAATGCTTCCTTTCAGGTAGGCACCATTCTAATCCTTCTGTATGTCTAATCAGATGTAATCCTCACAACAAGGATATAAGTATTTAGTATTATTGTATCAATTTTATAAATGAAGAAACTTAGACATTTAGGGGTTAAGTAGTGTATAGTTCAGATTATTAATGATTTTTTGAGTGTTCTTTGCTATAGGGTACATGCACTCACCAGAGAGACAGAGACAGACAGAAAGTGAGAAATCACCCCCAAGGAGGATGGCCACGCTGTAATCCCTGCTCCTCCATTCTCCTCTCAGGATTTTGGGCACACACATATGCACCCGGCATGAATTTCAAGCCACCAGGTCCAGGACTCAAACTGCTGTCAGCCACATGGGAGTCCAGTGACTTAACCACTACACCACCTGCTGACTCCTAATTCAGATTAGTGCAACTAGAAATGGTTGGAGCCAGGATTTGAATTTAGGCAACAGGACTTCAGAAACTATGTTATTATTTTTATACTGACTATTGTCATTATTAGCATGTGTAATATATGCTTTTCTATGTTTATGTGAACATAAACATGTATAACTTTGTGTGTGTGTGTGAGAGAGAGAGAGAGGTTTTTGCTATAGGGTATATGTGCTCAGCAGAAAGAGAAACAAAAAGCAAAAAATCATCCCATAGCCATGTCACAATCCCTTCTCTATTCTCCTCTCGGGATTTTGGGCATGCACACGCACACACACACACACACACACACACACACACACACACGGCCAGTATGAGTTTTAAGCTACCAGATCCAGGACTCAAATCACAGTCAACTATGTGGGAGTCCAGTGACATAACCATTACGCCACCTGGTCCCAGAATATGTATAACTCGTAAACCAATTTTTTTACATGTAATATAGCATAGATGTCTTTCTCAATAAGAGTACAAAGGTAAGTGCTGTTATTTTTCCTCATTACATAAAACTCTTCTGTATGGATTTAACATATATACTCCTCTGTCTAGAGTTGATCAAAGAACTGAAAGGTTCTTAAAATCGTATTAAGGGATGTTCATAGAAGGACTTGTGTTTATCAGCAAAAAGTGAACAAGGTGCTGACTTACATCCTTATCTGAAATAAACATTAGACCCTGCAAGGTGTTTTGAAGAGAGCAAAAGAACTGGAAGTCTGATGGTGCAATGTCAGGCGAGTATGGTGGGTATGGTAACACATTCCATCCAAGTTCCAATGATTTTCGACGGGTGATCAAACTTGTGTGTGGTCTTGGGATCAGTAAGTGGCAGTGATTACAGTGCTGGATTCCCATATGGAGAACCACAGTTCAAGTCCCAGACCCAGCAGCTTGAAACCCATGGCTGTCAGGTGTGCATGCATACCCAAAATCCCAAGAGGAGAATGGAGGAGAAAGGATTGGCATAGCTATCCCCCCCGGGGGGTGACTTCTCACTTTCTCTCTCTTCATCTTTGTGTCTCCAGCGAACATAGGCACACCAAAGCAAAAATGTCCCTTAAACAAACAAACAAACAAAAATAACAAACTTGTGTGTGGTCTCATGTTGTCATGACAGAACACAAACTACTTTTTCATTAATGAGCCCTGGACATTTCTGGATGATGGATTCATTCACACTGTCCAATTGCCCATGGTACACATTCAAATTGATTGGTTCCTTGGTAGGAGCTCACAAAACATGACACTTTTAAAATCCCACCACACCGAGAGCATAACCCCCTGACGAAAGCCTGCTTTCAATGCCATTTGAGACGAATCATCACATCAGGACCAAGACCGTTTGTGCACCACAGCATTGTAAACAAGCCACTTCTCATCAGCACTCATCAGTCTCTTCAAAAAAGGACCATTTTACTCCCGTTAAATGAGCGTATTGCAGATGTTTATACACGCCATCAAATGGACTTCTCTGAGTTCATGAGGAACCTAAATATCGAGCTTCCTTGTGTATCCCCACTTCTTCAGGTGGTCGTGAATGCTTGAATGATGGATGTTCAATGTTTCTGCAATCTTTGGTGTTATGTAAGGTGGGTTTTACTTGATCAATGCCTTTATTTTGTCATCATGAACCTCAGTGGGCCTCTCTGACTAAGGAGCATCTTTGGGATCAAAACATCAGGATGGAATTTCGTGAACCATTGTTGACACTGACAGTCTTGTAGAGCACTGTCACCATAAACCATATGCACCTTTTCACAAGCTTGATGTGTGCTCTTCTCTCTTATTATTATCATTTTAAAATTCAACCAGAGAGAAATAGGAAGCAAGACAGAGAAAAAGTAAGAAAGCAAGCTTCCTGGTTCAAGACTCAAACTGCAGTCAGTCACATGGGAATCCAGTGCCTTAACCACCATGCCGCCTGCAAGCCCCATCCTGGCTCATTATATTTTCCTTATTGTTGCTTAAATCCTTACTGCTAAGTTTCCTCATCTTTATCATGTGGTGAGCTGGAGTTCAATAAAAATTTTGGTCTAATAACATTTTTTTTGGTCCAGTTAAGCTCTAGCTTTCCAAACTCTTAGTAACCATGTCCCAAAACATTTATTTTTCCCTCTCCATTCTCATCACAATTCTAACATTAATAAAATGAAGCTAACTGCTAAGGTAGGAAACAAGTTAGTGACATAAGCTAGCTATAAGGAAGGACAAGGCAGTCCTGGTGAATTGAAGTTCAGGCTTTCTATGCCCTGGCTGTCATTGGAAATAGCATGCACTTGCTCTTCATTTCAAAGAGCATTGATCTTCCTCATTAAGCAGGGCATGTTTTCATTAAAAATGGGAAGTTAAGATGTCAAGAGAGCTTCATCTTCTACTAGTGGCAGAAGAAACAATTCTCTGGGAAATAATCAACTCTCTTGAGGAAGACATTATACTGAAAGATATCATATACCTAATCAGATTTATTATTAATGAGTGTTCCATTTGTCCCTAAGATATTATTCTTTGGATTACTGGCCTCATCTACATACATTGCAAATGGCTTTCAAATAAGTTCAGCTACACTTTCTAGTTAGTAAAAGCATTCTTGACATTCTGACGTCTTTGGTTAAACTGCTATATTGACTACTCTTTTTTAACATCTACCACTCTGCTAAACCAACCCTGGTCTTGTGTTAAACTAGGTAAAAGCAGATGGAAATTTTTAAAAACTAGTAAATTACCAAGACAACCATTTCTTTTTCCTTTTTAATTAAGAACCTCCGGTAGTAAAGCTATACTAAATTCCACTCTTCCAAGTTTGAGTTTTATATTACATTTAAGCCAAGGATGTTGCTTTCTTGGCTATGGGTTCTCTAGGGTTAAGCACAGCTCCCAGCACAAATGTTGAAAAACCCACAACATTTTTTGTAGCCATGGAAGCATTTTCTCAAATTTTTATTATTTATAGTTATGCCAATTATGCAACATTTCTGACCATTAAGGAATTAATGTAAAACAAGTCACTGACAAATACACCTTAACAGAGCAGTATTTACATTCTGCAAGAATAAATGCTCTTAAAAAAGTGTGCTGAAGGACTGTTAGAGGTTGTATCTATAGCTTCAGAAACAACAATTACATATACAATTTAAAATTTATAGTTTGGTGACCAACAATTAGCATATTAGCTATGTCACTGGACTCCCATGTAGTCAGACTGCGGTTCGAGTCCCGGACTCAGCAGCTTAAACTCACGCCAAGCGTGTGTGCATGTGTGCCCAAGATCCTGAGAGGAGAATGGAGAAGGGATTGTGGCATGGCTATCCCCCCTGGGGGGGGGGTGATTTCTCACTTTCTGTCTCTCTGTCTCTCTCTGTCTTCCTGATGAGCGCACAAGCCCTATAGCAAAACCTCTCCAAGAAAAGAAAAAAATAAAATAAAAATAAATCAATAAAAATAAAATTTGTATTTTGATTATGTGTTTTACTTTTTTTTTTTTTTTGGAGAGGTTTTCGTTACAGGGCGCGTGTGCTCACCAGACAGAGAGAGACATAGAGACAGAAAGCGAGAAATCCCTCCCCAGGGGGGGATGGTCACGCCGCAATCACTTCTCCTCCATTCTTCTCTCAGGATCTTGGGCACGCACGCACACGCGCCCGGCGTGAGTTCTAAGCCACCGGGTCTGGGACGCAATCCGCGATCGACTACGTGGGATCCAGCGACATAGCCATTACACTAACTGCTGGTTCCCTGTATTTTACTTAAGAGATACTATTTTGTGGACTAATTCAGAAAAGTAACTGACCTATCTTCAGACACTTTTGGAAAGCAGAAGTGATGCTCAAAATTCCTGCGTTCAAACTATGTTCTGGAGAACCAGCCTCACCTTCTGTTAGAAAAAGGCTAACCTTTAATTATTAGATTTAAAAAGGGAAATTATAACTTCCTTTGCTCCATAATTACTGCAGATGAGTTATTAAAATTCCAAACTTATGTAATATTATCATAAAATATGGCATTTTTCTTAAGAAAGCCACAAATTGGATTTGAGCTTATGCACTGTAAAACCCAGATGGTTTGCTTAACTACTCAGACATCCTCCAGTTCAAAAGTTAATTGAACTGAAAACTAAAATTTCGATAATTGATATGCTTTGAGGGGCTGAAGCAGAAGGATAAATTAGCTTCATGCATGGGGTGTTAATAGATAGACTTGAGAAACCACAACGATTGCTCAGAGAATATTTTGGCAAAGTAGAAGAAAACAGTATATATTTTCTATAGGTTAGCTAATTACACAATACCTGGACTTCCCTGGGAGCTGCTGCTTTTCTTTCTCCATTTTTTTACTCACTGATTCAATATTAGTCATTATTTTGCCCAGTTGAAACTGTTCTGGAATTTTTTAAAAAAGAAAAGAAAGCTTAAATTGTACACTACTATTAACTTTTGAACTCTAAATATATTTTTTAAATTAAATTGCAAATCATAGAGGTTTTAATAACAAGAAGTACAATATTCTTAAAAAAAATAGTGGACTAACACAGAAATACTGAAAAAAACATATTCGAGTGCATTTTTTTTTACCCACTGTACTCAGATGGTTTCAAATTGCCAAAATTTAGGATTAGAATATATATAGTAAATGAACTGCATTTATTAGAAACAAGCTACCTCCCAGAGAAATGCCTACAACCACATAGCACAAACCAATGAATACAAACAGCCTCATTTATACACATCATCATTATCATCATTCTCATTTTAAAATAATTTAAGAAGTCATTAGTTAATGTAAATAGGAACACAGTACTCCAGAAATCTCATTTGACAGCGAGTAAGACTAAAGTTCAAAAAAGACAAAAGTCCTACTTTGAAAGAACAAAAATCTAGTTCTTAAGTGTCTAGAAACAAATTTATATACACATTTTTAAAGTATCACTTACTTTCTATTTTGTACAGATAACAAGACTAAGGTACAATTTAAAATATTATAACAATGATATTAAATCAAGAGGACCCTATAGCTATTAGCTCAGATAAAATATATTAAAAGATACAGAGCAGGCGCGTGTGCGTGTGTGCCCAAGATCCCGAGAGGAGAATGGAGGAGGAGGGATTGCCGCATGGCCATCCCTTCTGGGGGGGTGATTTCTCACTTTCTGTCTCTCTATCTCTCTCTCTGTCTTTCTGGCAAGTGCACGCACCCTATAGCGAAAATCTCTCCAAAATCCAAAAAAATTCAGAGAACACAGGCCAGTCTGGTAACCTGGAGGTTAAGGGAGCTTGATCCACATGTCCAATCCCAGTTAGGATCCCAGCACCAACACTGGGCACATGTGTGTGTGTGTGCGCCTTAAATCCCAGCAGGATGGACTATTGGAAGAGAAGGGAGCACAGCGTGAGTGCACCCCACTAGACGGTACGTTTTCCCTTTTCTCTCTCTCTTTGCCTGTCTCTCTCTGACACGTACGTGTACACTCTGGCAAGTAAGTGAATAAACAAACAATACAGAGAACACGTGAGACCAAACCTTGTGTTCCTGAAAAACTACACACTAATAGGGGTCTCCGTACCAACACCAAGGAGACCACATTAGACTGCATTATGTATTGTAGTTTAGTTTTAAAATGGATGACAGAATATAAAAATTTAGGGAGAAATGGAAAATACAGGGTTAATATGTGTTGACTGCAGTATTTATAAAGCATTAAGAGTTAGCTTACCCTGTGAGCTACCTCACAGAAGCCTGAGAACAGTTTTTTGTTTTTCTTTTGTTACCTTTTTGGTTAAGTACTGTAATTATTCCCTTTAAATGTGAGGAGAAGCAGCGTTTGCAGGATTTTGTGACTTGGAAAGTGCAGAGCCAGGACTCTCCCACTCTGCTTTACTCTGCTCTAGCACCCCCTGCCGCTCATGGACTTTCAGGTGCCTCATCAGTGAAGTAATTTCTGCCTTTCCTACTTCAGAGGGTGACTCTAAGCCTACAAGAAACACTTTACATAAAGACATGCGGTAGGGTGGAAGAGACCATATTAAAGTACAGTTCAGGGAAAATACTTTTTAAATCTGAATCTTAACAGAAACATTTAAAAATATTTCCCATATGCCAGGTGTGGTAATTAATGTACATAGATTAGCACATTGTATTCTAACAACTATTACATAAATTAGGTACTGTTGTCAACTCCATTTACAGATGAGGAAATCTAAGCAGAGAGGGAGTATTGTCAGTCCCCTCAATGTGCAATCTTAATCACTACGGTGCTCAATATGCATATCTTTTGGTCATTTGCAGAATATCTGCTTCATGAAAACTGCTATGCTGGGTCTGCTCTATGGCACTGTGGTGATGCACTGCTTAAGAAAGGCTGCATCTGGGGCCAGCAGATGAAGTAGCAGTGCATCGCTGGATTCCCACATGGTCAACCATGGTTCGAGTCCTGGACCAGAAGGCTTGAAACTCATGCCAGGTATGTGTGTGTGTGCCCAAGATTCCAAGAGGAGAATGGAGGAGCATAGCCATCTCCCCCAGGGTGTAATTTCTTACTTCCCTTCTCATTGTCTCTGTCTCTTTGTCCTTCCAGTGAGTGCATACTCCCTAAGGCAAGAATCTCTATCAGAGAGAGAGAGACTGGATCCTATATGGCAACCACAGTTCAAATCTCCAGTTCAGTCAAGGTTGAAACACACCACACACATGTGTGTAGGTGCCCAACATCCAAAGGGCTGGAGGACTGAAGAAAGGCCATCATGGTATGACCAAGCCCTGTAGAGTATACTCATCTCTCTCTCTTACATGCTCTAGCATCGATGAAATTATTAATGATTAAAAGGGATTTTTAAAAATAACTCTAAAAAAGAAAAATTGGTATGCTAACTCCTAGAAAGGGAGAATGTTGCCAATAATGATTAATAATCCATGATTGTCCCTCTCAATAGACATCATAACTAACAGTAAAGATCACTGCAGAAAAGTGAAAGAGGAAAAGGCTAGGGAGAAAGAGCATTCCTGAGATCGAGCAAGTCAATTTTACAGGTAAGATAAAGGAGAGGGGTTGCAATGAAAGGAAGGTAATGATGGAAGTGAAACAAAGCATTAGGGTCAAGGGAAATGTTTTTGTTTTGTTTTTTTTTTCTTTTGTTTCTCAAGGCTGAAATACTATTGTAAGTATGAAAGTGCGTTGGGGAGAAACCAATACAGATCAAGAGAAAACACGGGGAACTGGAGACAAGAGCAGAGAATAGGTTTGCTGTATATCCGGGAAGGTGTGATAAAGTCCATGAGTGAAGGCGCTATATTATTTTGAACAATGTTATGAAAATAAGTTATCACAAGTTATCTCTCACATTTATAAGAATATGCATATACACATACATACATATGTGTTGACTTATTTACTCCCAAATGCACAAGAAAAATACATGAAAATACACACTATGTAGGAGACCACTGCAGAAAAGTGAAAGAGGAAAAGGCTAGGGAGGAAGAGCATTCCTGAGATCAAGCAAGTCAATTTTACAGGTAAGATAAAGGAGAGGGGTTGCAATGAAAGGAAGGTAATGATGGAATGATAGGTAATGATACTCACCCAGTTATCCCTTGTGCTCCCCTCCATTTCTCAGACCCCCCCTACAATTAGGTTGAGGACCTGAGATTAGATTCTAACCAACAGGATGTAGGCAGATGAGGTGGGAGCCACTGCCAGACCTGGGCCTTAAATTCCTCCAGCCTCCCTGACACAGTGCCTTGGGAAGCCTGTGCACAAAATGGCAGAGCTACAGGTGCCCTGTCTGTCACATTGTCCTGTGGGAGGGGACAGTCTATCAAGTATGAAGCCACTGAAACTCCCACATTTGATACTCAACAGAGCCCAACCTATCTGGTTATACTTACACCAGTCTAAAATATTGACTGTGTCTGTCGTTGTGGAAGAAGGGCTATGGTATCACTAGGACTTTCTCTTTCAATTTTGTGTCTGTATTTTTTAAAGATTTATAATGAGCTTGTGTTACTACAGTAATTAATAAAGCAAAACGTATGCCCATTTTTTAAGGAAAAAAAACTATTAAAGACTTTGGGCATAACTATTGGGTTGTAGGAAAAGTCATGATGTATTTTTCTTTCTATGTCTTTCTATACAAAAATGTGTCGTGACTTTCCCAACAACCCAATATTTAAGTGCTAAAAGTCCTCTACAGTTCCATTTAACTAAATCAGATTAGGACTTCATCCAAATTACAAAATAAATGTAGTTATAGCCCTAAAAAGGCAGCATTAAGAGGATTTCTAAAAAGGCAATTAAAACGTGAAATTCCAACATAGGTTCTAAATAATTCATGTAAACTTTCGGATGGGGAACCAGATTTTCAGCAAATTATACTATCTCCAAGTTTATCACTATCCCCTTTATCTAGTCTCTAAACCAGTTTTTACCAAACTCTAGAATTTCAGTTCTTGGAGGGCCAGCAGGTGACATGGTAGTTAATGTGCTGGATTCCCACATAGCCAACCATGGTTCAAATCCTGGACCTGGTTGCTTGAAATTCACACCAGGTATGTGTGCATGCATGCTCGAAATCCTAGGAGGAGAATGGTGGAGAAAGGATTATGGCATGGCCATCACCTCTAAGGGGTGACATCTTACTTTCCTCTCATCGTATCACTCTCTCTCTCACTCTCTAACAAGCACACACATCCTATGGTAAAAAAAAAAAAAAACAACTTAAAAAAAAAAAGAATTTCAGTTGTGGATCATGTATTACAAATCACTTCTGATTAGAGTAATCAGTAAAGGGGCCAATAGATGGCGTGGTGAAGGCACTGGACTCCCATATGGTTGACCACAGTTTGAGTCCCAGACCCAGCAGCCTGAAAATTACACTGGGCATGTGTGAGTAGAGGCCAAAAATCCCTGGGAGAGAATGGGAGAGAAGGGATTGCAACATGGCCATATCCCCAGGGAATGATTTTTCACTTTTCCTTTCACTGTTTCTGTCTTTCTGGGGAGAATATGTGCACCCTGTGGCAAAAATCTTAAAAAAAAAAAGAAGAATTAGTAAGTGAGAGACAGACAGAGAAGCTGGGGAAAGAAAAACCAGGTAAAGCAATGAACATTTGGGGAGTTTGTAATGAAGTTAAGCAAAAAGAAATATAAGACATCAGAATGCCAACCAAAAGGCTCCTTAACACTCCCTACCATGCTCAGCTCAGAGCCCATTCACCTGGAATCAATCATCACCTCAATTTCCTTCACTGCTACTAGGTTGTTGGGAAAGTCATGGCACATTTTTCTGTTTTTCGGTGCAAAAATGTGTCATGACTCTCCTGACAACCCAATATTAATATTTTACCTGTCTTCATGGGCTCATTTTGCTTTTATTATCTCCAGCCA